ATGTATGGAAGTGAGAGCTGGACCATAAAGAAGGCTGATCGCCGAAGAATTGATGCTTTTGAATTATGGTGCTGGAGGAGACTCTTGAGAGTCCCATGGACTGCAAGAAGATCAAACCTATCCATTCTGAAGGAAATCAGCCCTGAGTGCTCACTGGAAGGACAGATCGTGAAGCTGAGGCTCCAATACTTTGGCCACCTCATGAGAAGAGAAGACTCCCTGGAAAAGACCCTGATGTTGGGAAAGATGGAGGGCACAAGGAGAAGGGGACGACAGAGGATGAGATGGTTGGATGGTGTTCTTGAAGCTACCAGCATGAATTTGATCAAACTGCGGGAGGCAGTGGAGGACAGAAGTGCCTGGCGTGCTCTGGTCCATGGGGTCACGAAGAGTCGGACACGACTAAACGACTAAACAACAACAACAACAAAATGTGTTGCATTTGGAGCTACCTTTGTCAGGAAACTGTTAGCTAGTTAGTTAGCTACTCATCTGCTAACTAGACCTGAATGGTGGGGTCATACCTTACTGGTGCTGTTGCACTGGCTCCAGGTTCATTTTTGGTCACAAAATGCTGTTGTTTACTTTTAAAGTCCCAAATGGTTTCTGACCTGGGTAGCTGAAGAGATGCTTCTAACACAGCCTGAGGTCCAGAGTTCCTGCTGTCTCACGTAAAGCAGGTGGCAATGGGAATAGGGTCTTGTCAGTTGCTGAGCCTTATTAATGAGATCCTCTTCAAAGAACTATGTTGTCTTTCTGGAACAAAGACCTTTCTATTTTTCCTGTGTTTTATTCTCTCTTTCCAGAAATGTTTTAATTGCTGCTTTTATCCTGCATTTTGTTTCTTGTTGTATTTTTTTAAACAGCAGCATATGTTGTTATTTAGTCGTTTAGTCGTGTCCAACTCTTTGTAACCCCATGGACCAGAGCACGCCAGGCACTTCTGTCTTCCATTACCTCCCGCAGTTTGGTCAGACTCATGTTTGTAGCTTCGAAGACGCTATCCAACCATCTCGTCCTCTGTCGTCCCCTTCTCCTTGTGCCCTCCATAGTAAATGAAGCAGAAGTAGATGTCTTTCTGGAACTCTCTAGCTTTCTCCATAATCCAGCGCATGTTTGCAATTTGGTCTCTGGTTCCTCTGCTTCTTCTAAATCCAGCTTGCACTTCTGGGAGTTCTCGGTCCACATACTGCTTGAGTCTTCCTTGTAGAATTTTAAGCATAACCTTGCTAGTGTGTGAAATGAGTGCAATTGTGCGGTAGTTGGAGCATTCTTTGGCACTGCCCTTCTTTGGAATTAGGATGTAGACTGATCTTCTCCAATCCTCTGGCCACTGCTGAGTTTTCCAAACTTGCTGGCATATTGAGTGTAGCACCTTAACAGCATCATCTTTTAAAATTTTAAATAGTTCAGCTGGAATAGCATCACTTCCACTGGCCTTGTTATTTGCAGTGCTTTCTAAGGCCCATTTGACTTTTCTCTCCAGGATGTCTGGCTCAAGGTCAGCAACCACAATACCTGGGGTGTATGAGACATCCATATCTTTCTGGTATAATTCCTCTGTGTATTCTTGCCACCTCTTCTTGATGTCTTCTGCTTCTGTTAGGTCCTTACCACTTTTGTCCTTTATTATGGTAATCTTTGAACGAAATGTTCCTTTCATATCTCCAATTTTCTTGAACAGATCTCTGGTTCTTCCCATTCTGTTGTTTTCCTCTATTTCTTTGCATTGCTCGTTTAAGAAGGCCTTCTTGTCTCTCCTTGCTATTTTTTGGAAATCTGCATTCAATTTCCTGTATCTTTCTCTATCTCCCTTGCATTTTGCTTGCCTTCTCTCCCCCGCTATTTGTAAGGCCTCGTTGGACAGCCACTTTGCTTTCTTGCATTTCCTTTTCATTGGGATGGTTTTCGTTGCTGCCTCCTGTATAATGTTGCGAGCCTTCATCCATAGTTCTTCAGGCACTCTGTCCACCAAATCTAAATCCTTAAACCTGTTCCTCACTTCCACTGTGTATTCATAAGGGATTTGATTTAGATTGTATCTTACCGGCCCAGTGGTTTTTCCTACTTTCTTCAGTTTAAGCTTGAATTTTGCTATAAGAAGCTGATGATCTGAGCCACAGTCAGTTCCAGGTCTTGTTTTTGCTGACTGTATAGAGCTTCTCTATCTTTGGCTGCAGAGAATATAATCAATCTGATTCCAATGCTGCCCATCTGGTGATGTCCATGTGTAGAGTCGTCTCTTGTGTTGTTGGAAAAGTGTGTTTGTGATGACCAGCTTGTTCTCTTGGCAGAACTCTATTAGCCTTTGCCCTGCTTCGTTTTGAACTCCAAGGCCAAACTTGCCAGTTGTTCCTTTTATCTCTTGATTCCCTACTTTAGCATTCCAATCCCCTATAATGAGAAGAACATCCTTCTTTGGTGTCACTTCAATAAGGTGTTGTAAGTCTTCATAGAATTGGTCAATTTCAGTTTCTTCAGCACCAGTAGTTGGTGCCTTGCCGTGGTGAGGCTTGAAGAACTCAGAGAAGCTATGAACTATGCTGAGCAGGGCACCCAAGATGAACAGGTCATAGTGGAGAGTTTTGACCAAACGTGATCCACCTGGAGGAGGAACCGGCAAGCCACTCCAGTATCCCTGCCAAGAAAACTCCATGGACAAAGACAACAGCAGCATATATGTGCTTTCATATTGTGTTCTATATGACTTATATAAGCCATCCAGTGGTATAAATTTATTAAATATAGATTTGGTGCTTTCTTTAATATATATTAAACACTCTAAGTTTCATGTTGCAATATGACCTTCATCAAGTATGCATACAAATTTCTGAGGATTCACAGAGGTGTTACATATTGTTTGAACAGTCTATGCCATTATTTCAGCTTAACATCAGCAAAGCAAAACACCTGGGCAGAAAATTTGTCGAAAAATACATACTGTAAAAAAATATCCTGATCCACTTTGCAGGCTGGGATTGCTGAGAGCTGCATAGGTTTGCTAAATACAAGGAACTGTTATTGCAGAAACTACCCACTTTGTGTAGGTGTGCTATCCCAATTAAATGATGAAATGCTCCAATATTTGATTACCAGTTAGCCAGAACATGATCTGGTTTCCAGCGGAAAAGTTTCCACTGCAGTTTTACTTCCTCAAGTTTAGCACAAACACTCCAGATAGCACAAACACTGTGCTTACACAGTTCTGTTTTGCATTTCTAAGAATTAAGTGGCTGTGTTTTACTGTTCCCTGTTGCACCTTTTACTTCTTAGTATCTCTGCCTGATTCCACCCAAGTGGAATAATAATAAAATTATTAAACAAATAGGCAGGAAAGCCTTATAGACTTTCAGATACATTTATTCCTGATACAGTACTATGAAGATGCTAAACTCTTAGAAATGAAAGGTGCTTAGTGGTTCTGTGCCTTGAGAATTATAACTCAAGTTATAACTTATTATGATTCTATCAAATACTATATATGTTCTTGATATGGGCCTAATTTACCAGTAGTATAGCACACACTTTTTCTCATTTGAACTTATTGGCTTCATTTTGAATTATGGGTCGTATCAGATACCATTGACAGCACTGCAATTTAACTGTCATAATAGTGCTTCATGTGTCAAAGTCAAAGTAATTCAATTTGCTGCCAAGCTTGGTGCTTCCAGTAAACTGTGTTCTGTCATATAAGCTGTTGATTCAGTGATTCCTTGGGCATTATTTTTTGTTTTAATCCTTTTAAAATGAATCTACCTGATTTGGATGGATCTCATGTCACACGGTTTGCAAACCCATTCATCTTCAACTTTAAAGCCACTATTTTAAAGTCGTATTTTCAACTTTCAATTTGTGGTGGCCATCCAGATGAAGATGGGGAGCCGTGAGCATTCTCATAGAGCCCCCTTCCTCAATTTGGCCCAGCTCCACACTATGGTCCCGTAGTGTGCTATTTCCCTCTGGGCCCAATTCTCACAGTTTCTCTCCGTGCTCTTTATTGATTCTTGCGTGATCAGAAGGATGAACAGCCTGCAGCAGCAAAGGCAATTAGCTGGGTCAGTGAGTGCCTAATGATGTTGTCCCCTGGCATTGACCTTCTTCTGTAGCTTCTTCAGTGCATATTCTGTAGCCTCTGTTTATGAATGCCACATATGGTCACTCTGGCTGATTCCATTTGAGGTATTATGCAGCAGTCACATAGAAATCTGATCATGTTCCTGTAATCAAGGGAAGGTGAAGTGAAGGCATGATGTGACATGGTGAGATGTTTCAGGTGACAATTTTTAGCAGTGGTGAAGTAACCAGTTCTTTGTTTTCAGTGTTTTTGATGAGAATAGCTTAGGGACAATTTTTCCACCCTGAAACTGTATTTAATGAGGAAAAGGGGGGATTTCATCCTGTTTGCTATGTGCCATGTGTAGCTCACACCATGTAGCTATGTGAGAATTAAGTTTAAATCAGATTTTAGGTTGGGGTTTTTTTTGAAAATAATTTCTAAAAAATAATTTTAATAGCTACTTGCCATTGAGTTTTAACACAAGCAATGCTAAAAATGCAGTCAAGCATGTTCACTAAGCCATGATTTGCTTTAACCACGATTTGTTCAACAAACAACTAATCTTCTCACAGATTAGCAAACAAACTATATCTTGTTTCTCCAAGTAGCTTGATTTGTTTTCCAGTTGATCTTGCATTGTGCATCTATATAGTGTGTTGAGCATTTGGGATAGGCTTAATTATGTTTAATTTTGACTAATATGTGCCCCACTCACACAATGTATTTAAAAGTGCAGTATAAAGCCAAGTATTTTGTTCATGAGAACAAAATAGAATAGGAAGTGTGCTAATAATATTTCAGAAATTATTACGGAGTAGTTCTTTATATATTACACACTGATATAACTGGTCATTGAAATTTCTATAGGATCTTGTATAGCGTTGGGTTGACTGAAAAGAAAGCAAGAACACACTTTTACAATATGTCCTCTCTTTTTTTGCAGATGCTCCAGTCTTTGTTTCAAATCAGACAACATATTATTCCTGGGAAGGAAATCCCATCAATATAAGTTGTGATGTTCTATCTAATCCATCAGCATCTATTCAATGGAGACAAGGAAAACTACTTTTACCTGTAAGAAACTCAACTCATCTAAAGACACACAGTGCTGGAAGCAAACTGATACTAGAGGTAAGACCTTGAACCTGTGTTAGTAACTTAAATACTGTTTTTAAAAAATCATAATATCTTTGCTTCTACAATTGTGACTAAGATTATTTTCTGATGAGGGATTCTTCACCCTTCCCTTTTACATTCCCTTTTCGGCTGTGGCCCTGGCCTGTTGGAACAATCTCCCACAAGAGATCAGGGCCCTGCGGGATTTGGCATCTTTCTATTATTATTATTATTATTATTATTATTATTATTATTATTATTATTATTATTAATTTGATATGGTTTGTTATTCTATACTTGAATTTGTCAATTTTTTCCTAGTGTTATATGTGTGTGTGTGTGTGTGTGTGTGTGTGTGTAAGCAATCCTATATACACTTATCCCAAGTAAGCACCAATGAACTCAAAAGGACTTCAGAATAAACAGGCATAGGATTGAGCCTCTCCAAGTGCAGTTCCAGTGTTATTGTCGCAGAGGACTCAGACAAGATTCATTACAGCCCTCCTTCCTCACCTGTCTTGTGCATACCAGCAAGGTTTATGTAGCTGAGCCCCTAAACTTGGTGAAATTATGCTCTAGAGCAGTGTTTCTTTCCAACATTATTGCCCAGCATGGTACCCTCTAACTCCCATCAGCCCCAACCAGCATGGTCCGTGGTGAGGGAGTCCAACAGCATCCATAGGGCACAACATTGGCTACCTCAAATCAAAATTAACTTGTACAGTGGACAGAAGGACAACTGGGCCTCCTATTCCTTGTAGTTGCCCTGTGTACATGACAAGTAGGTGAAGGGAGATGGAACAGATCAGATTTTAGCAAGTAAGCTATGTGACATCGTTTACAGCTAGATTCTGTGCTTGCTGTTGGCAGGATCAAGCCCCCAGAATGGAGGCTCCTTCTCAAACCTTGTACAGTATTGATGTTAATCACAGAATCTTAGTATTGTAGAGTTTAAAGGGAGCCCATGGGACATCTAGTACAACTCCCAGCAGTGCAGGAATATCAACTAAACATCCATGACAGATGACCATCCAATGGCAGTGGATATTTATGCTTAACCATTTCCAGTTGCTAGATGGATATGTAACTAGATTCACAATTATTATTATTTTTATTATTTTTTGGGGGGGGATAAAAACTAGATAATAATAAATTGCTTAAATATTATATTATATTGTTTTGTTTTTACATGCAGACTGATACACATTTGTATTTATCTATTTCCCCCCTCCCTTGTTGTGACCCTAAAGTTTGCTCCTACATCTGACAATGATTTTGGACGGTACAACTGCACAGCCACCAATAGAATAGGAACACGATATCAAGAATATATATTAGCTTTAGCTGGTAAGTAAAAATATTTGTTGTTTTTTTATATATTATTTCAACAAACTTTCTGAATGGAGATACTTATCCCAGCTTGTACTGACTTTAATTTAGGCTATGTGTGCTGTTGTTTGAAAGTGTGTGTGCATTCATAAATCTGTGTGTGTTTTTTAAAAAAAATATTATATATGCATTTGTTTAAACTATTTTTTATATATATTACATATTGTAAACTGCTTCAGGGTAGCTCATGAGAAGCAATACTTTAATGAAAAATGGATAAATAATATACTTAAGAATGTATAAGCCTACTTAATGTGTAGAAGTGAAAATCTCAATATAGCTTATGAATAGTGGAAACATATAATTTTTAAACCATAACAACACTGGATCATATAATTGGCCCTAAAATCCGATTGGCGAAGTGTTTCTTGAGAGCATACAATGATTAAGCTAGAGACACTTGCCTGAATAAATGAAATTATTAAGCTTTTTGAACAGTGTGTGTGATTTAGAGATAGGCAGAGAGAAGTGAATGAGAGCAAGCCTTACAGGCCTCTGTGGGATATGAAGAGGAAAAAGAGGGAATATCACTGAAGGCCTTCTTTTATAACTTATTTCAAATACTTATTTGTTTATTTTACTACATATATGCCCTGCTCTTTTGGCAATGAGAAAGCAAAATGGTTAGCAACAATAGGCATAATTAAAATTTCTGTTCCCACCCTCAAAAACATCAATATGTCAATAACTGCTACTGTCCAGGGTCCCACCCCAAAATATGCAAATAAGGGCTCTTACTTGTAAGCAAGAAAGATCTATTTATTCAGGCAAATTATGGCAAAGGCTCAGCAGCAGACACAAGAGTTCAGGGGTTTAAGTGCAAGGCAAAAAGCTGAGAACTAGGTGGAAGCAACGGAAATGTCTCAAGAAGTTTCTACTCTCTGCCCACCAAGATGAGGTATGACATGTTCACTCGTCTCGCAGGAATGTTCAGATTGCAAGTGTGTGCTACGAGAGGGTGGGTGGGTCAGCTCCAGTCTCCAGACATGGCATCTGGTTCTAGGTGACATCCCTGTTCCCTGTTTCCAAGCAACAGACGTTGGGGTGGAAAGGCAAGATTCCCTTTTCTTCTGACAGGTTCCCAGCATTCAGGCTCCCTCTGTTTCTCCTCCTCCTCCTCCTGCATCAGAGCCTGCCAACCCAAGCTCAGCATTTCACAGTAAAGTTTTATATACATAGTACAATAATGGCTACACATGGTTAGACCAGAAATTCTCAAACTGTAGCAGTGAGGGCTCTTAACGCTGCAATCCTAAACATGTTTACTCACCATCAGTAATTCAGGGCAAATGGTGCAGGATGAGTGAGATGCACAACCCACTATTGCAGTGGGTTTACATGCCTATAAAGAAATATTCTAGCCCGCTTTTGACATACTGTGACTTATTTTAGCCACATTTTACACCACAGCACATAAATCTAGGTGTCTTCTGGTGCAGACTAGGCATGACTGGAATGATAGTAATTTACACCAGTGAAGAATGTGGATCAAAGACACAAATCTCATTACAAAGCCAGATAGTTGCAAGGTGGTGATTATGTACGTAGCTTTCTCTCTGACTTCATTTGCTCTAATTGTTCTGCAATTCTTAAAGGTTGATTATGCTGGCTAAATGTCACTGTGCCTCCTTCATAAGCAATTAACATTTCTTTTATAAGTTTTATGAGAACAGCCCTTAATACATTCTTTAAAAGAGAAGTTTACAAGACAAAGAGTTGGGGGATTTTTGCTGCAGAACATTTTTGTCTGAAGAAATAATGGGTTATGCAGCTCAATAAATTTACTCAAAGCAAAGAAAAACTGTTTGCCAAGCAAATATTTCACAAGCACTGCACCCCCTAGAAATGTATATTTATACCTGTTAATATAACAGTTTTGTGTTAAGGGGAAGGATGGCAGTTTTAAGAATACATTAGCATCTTTCAGCCATGGCATGTGATTTGTTTAACATTTATTCTGTACTACAGCAGTTCTTTGAAAATATATTAAGCCCTGTATTTGAAAACCCCCATTTTGTTAAGGCCACTATAAAGGCCAGTGAAGAAAAAAATCAGCAACATTATTTCACTTTCCTGATGTATATTGTTAAGGTTTATGATTTAATGAACCAGAATGCTGAAAAAAAGTTGCAGGGGAAAATATATATTTGGTAGATTATTCCTATCCAGTTCAATTGAATAGCAACATTAAAAACCAGCATCAAACAAAAACAACATAGACTCTGGTCACTTTTATGGTCCCTGGAAAGGCAGTTCAGTGCCTTTCTAGTGACTGGGCTAAGGAAAGAACCAACTGCTGTTACTTCTCCATCATCAGTTACCTAATGGCTGAGAAAACACAACAGGGTGTGTGCTGAAGAATGTTTTGAATCCTGTTTATCCAACGTTCATCCTCCCTCCCCAAGCTAGCTTAATTATTTCGCGCTCCCAATGGGAAGAAAATCCATGGGTGGAGAACTACAGAAGGAAGAAGAAAAAGAAGGAGAATAAAGAGAATGCAAAAAGGAGGAGAAAGATAAGCCACCCCCCTGTCCTGGTAGCATGAGCCCAGCAGGGCTTTGGATTGCTCTGTTGGTCATCAAGCTCATCTTGCAATAAAAATGTTTTTAAGCCTCTAAATACAGAAGAGAAGAAGTCCTTTCCCAGGCACACTTCAATCAGGTCTTAGCCGATAATGGTCCAGACAGCAGGGCGTCTGATTCTGATCTTGAAGCTTGGGTTGTTTCATGTGGGCAAAGCAAGTCATTACAGTGGCTTTGTCCCAGGCTGTTTAGGACTCTAAAGGTTAATTAACAGCAAGTAAAACTGAGTCAGGAGATGGATTACTTGTTTCTTTAACAATGCAGTTTAAGAATAACCTATTGCAATCATCTGTAGCATCTGGTCACATGAGGTGGTGAACTTTACTGCACCCTAATATTTGACTCTTCTATATGTGGCATATATATAATATGCCTTTTTCATTCAGATTTGCATATAACCTTTGCAATTAACCTTTTCTTTAAAAACAAAACAAAACTGACAAGGCATCGTTGGCTCAGATATAAGCTGGCACTTGATGCAAGAGAAGTCTGATGTGTGCAGAGCTTCGTCAGGTTGGAACCACCAACCATGTACAGATCCATTTTAAATGAATTCGTCATCCATCCATATCTAGGATGGTTAGAGTTGGCAAGGAATTAGATGGGGAATTGTGCTCCCAGTACATTTCCAAGCACAATTCAATGTGTTGGTGCTGACCTTTAAAGCCCTAAACAGCCTTGGTCCTGTATACCCGAAGGAGCGTCTCCACCCCCATCATCCAGCCCGGACACTGAGGTCCAGTGCTGAGGGCCTTCTGGCGGTTCCCTCACTGCAAGAAGTGAGGTTACAGGGAACCAGGTGGAGGGCCTTCTCGGTAGTGGCACCTGCCCTGTGGAACACCCTCCCAGCAGATATCAAGGCAAAAAACAACTATTTTACTTTTAAAAGACAACGAAAGGCGGCCCTTGTTTAGGGAAGTTTTTAATGTCTGGTGCAGTATTGTTTTTAATATTCGGTTGGAAGCCGCCCAGAGTGGCTGGGGAAACCCAGCCAGATGAGCAGGGTATAAATAATATATTATTATTATTATTATTATTATTATTATTATTATTATTATTATTATTATTATTATTATTATTATTATTATTATTATTATTTTGCATTATATGGACAGGAAAATGACAGAGGTAAAGTCACATGAGCACAAACTTAACATGCTACCATAAACAAGCTGAAACCATGTAACTCTTTTATTGCTGTTACATTAGCTACAGAATATCATTTAATGTTTCTGCAATGTGCTTTTGACATTTTAAGACACACCAGTACACATTTTATAATATGTTCTTCTCAAGATGCTGAACACAGTATTATGTTTTTATTGATAAGGAATATAATTTCTAGTTACTTATGTCTTACACTTCCCTAGATGTACCATCCAGTCCACATGGAGTAAAAATTATAGAGATCTCACAGACGGTTGCAAAAGTCTCTTTCAATAAACCAGATTCACATGGGGGCGTCCCAATCCATCATTATCAAGTGGATGTCAAAGAAGTCTCTTCGGAAACATGGAAAGTCGTTCTTTCCCATGGAGTTCAGAGTGAGTCTGCAACGGGAAAAATGGGGATAATTCATAATATGAATATAAAAGGAAAATACTTGTTAAATGCTCATTTCTGTCCATGGTATTACATGGGAGAGCACATTCTCTAATGGGGAACTAACATGTTTTAGATAATGAACACATATAGTCATCTTTAAATAGTTGTGGTAATTTTTGTGTGTAATAAGGTTTCAAAATTAAACCACTAAGATTTACTATGCTGTCGTCAAGCAAGATGTTCTTCATAGCAGAGTTATTCCAGCCCCTTGACTATCAGGTTGACTTTTCTCAAGCATTTTCAGATCTACAAAATCCTAAGGTATGGTGACTAAAACAGGTATCTGAAGAAGTGTGCATTCACACGAAAGCTCATACCAAGAACTAACTTAGTTGGTCTTTAAGGTGCTACTGGAAGGAATTTTTTTTGTTTTGACTATGGCAGACCAACACGGCTACCTATCTGTAACTAAAACACATTATTCAACATATAGCCACACTATTTTCAATTTCTTTCCTAGCAGAATTTTCCTTTCACAACTACAACACACTAGGATGACAGTTTCATTATGACCCCAATCATAGCAACCGTCCCTTATGTGGCAGGAAACTCCTTTATCCCAGCACCATGTCCCACTGCTGTCCTTTATTGATGATGTCTCTTAAATTTCCCAGGTTTCAAAGGAAGCAGCTCCTCTCCCTCCCTCCCTGCTGGCCAGGGAGGAGGGAGGCTCCAACTGTGTTGCTTGGCTGCCCGGCCCGCCCCCCTCCAGCCTCCTCTCACCAGCCTTGGCCCCCAGGAGCCCCTCCCCGCCAGGACTGGCGGGAGCCTCAGGCCCTTCCGCCGCCATCCTCCTCGCGGCCACTGAACTGAGCGTCTCTGCCTGGGGCCTTCCCTCTGCTGCTGCTCCCACTAGGCTGTACTGCGGCTGTGCCGCCGAAGGACCTGGATGAGATGGACAACCTGGTGCGGCCTATGAATTGCAGAGGAGCCATGAGAGGAGAGTGAGGGCAACCATAGAGAAAGCAGTTCAGAGAAAGGAGGAGGAGGCGGAGGCGTGGGCAGGTGTTCCAAGTGCTAACCATAGAGGGGGAAAGCGGAGGAAGGACCGCAAGCACTTCTCCCATAGATTTGTAGTGGTAGACTATCATAGATGGTCTGATCTGTGGGTTTACATCGTGTGCTATCCCCCCCCCTTCCTCCCGCCCCGCCTGATGGAACTGAGAGCTGCAGTTGGAACATGAGAGAAAAGATACAGAACTGCAGCAGCATCTTTGTAGCTTGGACTTGGTTTTGCGTGAAAAGTGGTTGCTGCTTGTAGTTGCAGTGTTTCATCAGCTGGTGTCTTGAGCAGCAACCTCTGCAAACGAAGGGCTAAAAACCGGCGCTGCTCTCCAAAATTATCTGGTCCCTTTTATCTTCATATTTCAGCTGGTTGACTAAAATCCCTTATTTTGGCTGCTGATCCCTTATTTTCGAGGCTGCTGGTCCCTTATTTTCAAATCTGTAAGTTGACAGCTATGACCCCAATATATATTTTCTGGTTAGTCATTGCCAATTCACACCCCATAAGAGTATATGCGTGTGTGGTTTTGTTTTTTTTTGGGGGGGTGCCACACTTAACTCTTGCATACCTGAAGTTGCATTACCTGGACAAGAAAATGACAGAGGGAAAGTCAAGTGAACACAAATACAAATGTCCTCTCCAAGTGGATATACATTTTATGGAATTTTATATAAAGAAATATATCAAGCACACTTTAAAATTCATGAGCCAAGAGAAATATGGCGTTTGTTTGTTTTTATATTAAGTACTCTAGCAGCATAATTCTACATGTGGGAGTTTAATGGGGTTTGTTACTGAGTAAATGGGTGCAGGATTACATGATTAGATTATTAATAAAATTGGTGGTAGTTTTGGGTATGTTTGTGTGTTTAATATATAGTGGCTATACATATTTAGGCAAGGTCCAGACAGTCTGAAGGACTGTATCTCCCTGTATTAGCCTGTCTCTGTTTTGAGATAGCTAAAGACATTGGAAGAATTATAATGCCTGTAATGTTTTTATTAGTGGCCATGAAAATTATTTAGGCAAAGCATTGGAAATTAATATCTATACCTGCAAAGAAAAAAATGACTGGGGAAAGCCATTGATTAACATAATTAATGCTATAAATTAATGCAAGAATTTAAAACTTTTATAATTGCTAGATAAAAAATGGGCAATATTAGAAGTATGACACTGCACAAATATTTGTATTTGTAGAGTATGCATTATTTGATAACTGTGGCATATCTGTTACATCCATTTCAAATTTCTTTTTGTTATTGAAAACATTTTTAATACTAAAAATAAAGGTAACTCTACATGCATAGTGGATACTTGCGTAGAATTTTACACTCCCAGTTTCTTGATTAAATCGGACTATAGGCTCACACCATATATTCAAGTAGTTTGGAGACAGTTCACTCGAATAGCATTTGAGGTTGTTCAGCATAATAAGTTGTTTATTACCCAAGCCACAATGTGTGTGTGTTTTATCAATACAGTGGTACCTCAAGTTACGTACGCTTCAGGTTACATACGCTTCAGGTTACAGACTCCACTAACCCAGAAATAGTGTTTCAGGTTAAGAACTTTGCTTCAGGATGAGAACAGAAATCATGCTCTGCTGGTTTGGCAGCAGCAAGAAGCCCCATTAGCTAAAGTAGTGCTTCAGGTTAAGAACAGTTTCAGGTTAAGAACGGACCTCCGGAATGAATTAAGTACTTAACCCGAGGTACCACTGTATCTCAGTTTAGTGTGTCCCTCAGACATACTATTTTCTTATAATATGCTGTATTTGTGTGGTGCTACATTTTGACTTTATTTTATTACAACATAGGAACTTTAAATGGAATCTGAAAGACTGAGAATTAGTGGTGTCAGAAATGATACACATATCCTAAAAGAGCTAGTAAAATGAAGAAATTAACAATGTGATTTCTAATGGTTATGTGATGGCAGCATTAACGTTCATTGTAATGAATAATCTCACTTTCTCTACCCAGAGGCTGAACTTCTGAAAACAGATGTAAAATTTTAAGCTTTCTACTTGTTACACATCTATTTATATAGCATGCATTTAATTATAACTGCAGTACTTCACAGACTGTTTTGGAACTGGTCCTTCATATGATAACATTCTTTCTTTTCTTTTCTTTTACTGGACCAAACAAAGCTGCTGAATAAAATAACACAGGGTGTAGAACATACTAATTAAAACCCATTCATACAAAGTCCATCATACATAGTGTTTAGTAGCTTCAGAATGAACAATGTTTTGTTCTATTTTCTGGCTCTTATGGAACTAAATGTGTAAAGTATTGGTTGGTGCATTTAATTGGGCTGAAGAAATGCCACTGAACAATGGGGAGAAAATGTGCAGATATAACAAAAATGAACAATTTAATGTTTCATTAAGGATCCTGCCACCTCATTCCATGGCCTGTGGTTGACAACATTTTGAGGTTTGAGTGGGTTGGATCCAGCCTTTATATTCTGTGGACTCCAAGACTTATTTTGTCTTTGAAAGGCTACCAACTCAGTGGAGGGCCAGACTATTCTGGAAGACCCTCTGGAATAGTATTGGAAGTAGTACTGGCAGATAGATATAGGAGAGGGGGAGTTGGCCACAGTCACATTTGGCCAGCAGAAGCGTTCCCTGAGAACAGAGGTGTACCTGGCAAAGGTGTGCCCATGGCTAGCAGCTGTATCCCCACCCCCATGGCTTGAGCAGCAGAGCAGCAACCCAGGGTGAATCCAGATGGGGTCCTAGCCACTCCTAACAAGGGTGGAGATGTATGATTTTATACCAGCACCAAGAGTGCAGGCCAGCTTAATCAACCCATAGGTACGCTCCTGCCTAAGAACTCTGCTCAGAAGATATTATAGTGGGGAGGAGCAAATGCCAAATTGAACCCATTTTATTTACTTATTTTGGTTTTCATATTCCTCTAGCAAAATAGCTCTGCTATTGTGTCTTGTGTATATTACAATCAAACTCTGGGATGTGTGTCCATTATGGTATGGTTGCCATCTGTCTGTCTTTCCCAGACCTGCCCTCTTTTTCTAGCTTAAAGTGTCTGTCTGGGCAGGTTTTTAAAATCAGGCAAAACGTCAGGAGTGGGGAGAGTTTGGGAGTTGAAGTCCGTAGTGGTGAGTGAACGTGTTAGAAGAGTACTGGTCCTCTTTACCCTGCCTGTGTGAGTGTGTGTGTTTGGCTCAAGGCTCAAGGGTCTTTTCCATAATCCTTGCTTGCCTGCCTGTGAGAGGGAGACTCCAGTGTGTTTGTGTGTGTGCACATGTGGCACTGCTGGGGAAGAGGGAGTTTTGCTGTTAGACATTCTGCTTGGCTTCCTGCAGGCACACTTTCCTTGGGGGTGTGTGTGTGTGTGTTTCCCCTTTAAAGGGGACCAAGTGTTGCTATTAAGGAATCCTGCAGGGCTTCCTGGGGTGAGCTCAAGGGTATGTGACTGCCCGTGGATGATTCAGTGTTGGTATGCTGCAAGTGGCAGCCCTGGGTTTCAACTTAATCTTGTTTGCTGTTACCAGCAGTGTGCAGGTGTTTGGGATAAGTGGGTGTGAATATTAGTTTTTCTAACTGGGCACGAGTGTGAGGATGAGTGAGCCCCATCTGGTACACAGGCTGAGACCCTACCTTCCTGCGGGACTGTCTCGTCAGAGTGGTGCATGCTCTAGTTATCTCCCGCTTGGACTACCACAATGCGCTCAATATGGGACTACCTTTGAAGGTGACCCGGAAACTACAACTAATCCAGAATGCAGCAGCTAGACTGGTAACAGGTAGTGGCCGCTGAGACCTCATAACACCAGTCTTGAAAGACCTACATTGGCTCCCAATACGTTTCCAAGCACAATTGGTGCCAACCTTTAAAACCCTAAACGGCCTCTGTCCTGTATACCTGAAGGAGCGTCTCCACTCCCATTGTCCTGCCCAGACACTGAGGTCCAGCTCTGAGGGCCTTCTAGCGGTTCCCTCACTGCAAGAAGCAAAGTTACAGGGAACCAGGCAGAGGGCCTTCTCAGTAGTGGCGCCTGCCCTTTGGAACACCCACCCATCAGATGTCAAAGAAATAAACAACTATCCGACTTTTAGAAGACATCTGAAGGCAGCCCTGTTTATGGAAGCTTTTAATATCTTATGAATTATTGTATAAATGGGAGGGGCATTGTTGTTGTTGTTGTTGTTGTTGTTGTTGTTATTATTATTATTATTATTATTATTATTATTATTATTATTATTATAGTTTTCACTGTGAAGTACAGTCTATCTGGGGCTCCCTCTTTTAAGTTCATTGTCCCTTTTTCAGTCACGGTTAGTGTGAGTGTGTCTGCTATGTGGGAGGTCGTTTTGTTTGTTTTTCTTGATTATATGAGCAAGTGTGGCAGCCTGATTGTTGGGATATAATTTAACCCCTTTGTTATAAAGGTTGCATTAATTTTGCCCTGGCCATAACAGTTGTTTCCCCTCAGATCCCTTGTTATCATGCCACAAATAGCCACAAGTAAGGGAAGCAGCCTCCTTCTGTAACCACTGTAGCAATTTTAACTGAAGTGTTGGGGAGAATTGTTTTTCTCTTTTCTCTTCAGCCAAACAGTTGCAGTTCATCGTTACAATAAATACAGCAAAAATAGAGGGTGATTATTTAAATAAGCAAATTACTGAATATTCTTATTTTGTTGTTGAAAATTACAGAACGTAGAAATATTTCACAACTTCGATAGTCTACATAAAGTAGGGATATTTACAATGAGAGTCTTCATAAGATCCATAGCTAAAAGTAGTCGGCAAATGTGTCCTCTTTTTTGCTCTTTAAAATGTGGCAACCCTACATTATGGGGACTATTTTGCAATTTGATTGGGTATGTGGATCTGGCAAGGAATGGTACAGAACTTGGTGTTACTGCAGTAGGGTATGCAGTAGAACCATGGGATATCTTTCCACTTGCTGTTTCTGCATGGGGAAGGTGGCTATTCTCATTACTTAATGTAAGGTAGAAAGATTTCTTCTCCTCCTTCTCTACTTCTTCCCTATTTTCCACATCCTTCTTTTCTGATTTTAAATGTTGCTTCGCTAGACTTTTAAAAGGGGTAGAAGTTGAATGTGAAAACTGGCTTGCATAACCAGATTCAATAAAGAAGGGCCATGGTTCAGTATGCACTTCAGTAGTTACTGAGCTTAGCTGTAGGGACACGGAAAGGTAGGTAGATAAGGTAACCAAAAATCCTAAAGGAAATTTGCTTCTAAAATTCCGGACAGATCAGAATTTCACCTTCATACAGAAGGACCTCTTACTACTGCCAGCCTGGAGAGGAGCAGCAATTGTGGTCTGGCAGCCATTGGCTGGGGCAGTCTGATCTTCTGGTCCCTGCATGGCCAGGGGAGGACATCACTTCCTCCTTCATTGGCCATGCTGGCTGCTTGGGGAGCAGACCGGAGGGACAACTTGCTCTAAGGTCTGCTCTCTGACTATAAAGCCAGCTGTTCCCAGGACTCACCACTTAGACCACTTCATCCCAATTTAAAACATTGCTGCTTCATTTCAGAGAAACTAAACATTTTTGGATAGGGAAATGTGAAGCTCCCATTATTTGTTGCTGCAACCTCCTAAGGTTTCAAATTGATTTAAAAGAAAGTATAATGCAATACTTAATTATCATATATGTCTTAACCTTTAGCATACAAATTGTTTATTATGAAAGTGCAACTTGGCATTTCAGCTATTTTGTGACATTTATAATGTGATTCTTGACTCACAATTTATGAATTGAGTTGTTATTTGAGTATTGCAAACTGAGGTAATTGGGTTAGTGAGACAGTTCCTGCATGAAAATTAATATAGTGTCTTTAAAGAAAGGGAAGGGGAGAAAAGATGGCATGCTTCAAAAATTATTTTTGCTTGCTAGAAGAACTACACATCCATACACAATTTAGTTGAAGTGTTTTTGTGTTTTTGTTTTTTTTTAAAAAAAACCTGACAACAATCAGACAATAACATTATTTTATTTCCCTGAAACACTTGATAAGGCTTTCAGCCTATCAAAATTATTCTATAAAAAGTCACAAGTCATATAGTAGAAATTACCTGACTCTTGTTTTGTGCTGAAAATTGTCATCATTTCCCCCTCCCCCATGCTATCTATTGAACATTATAACTTATACTTTTATTCTGTTGATTAAAATATATTTCTATATTGGATTCAGGCTTGCAGTTTTCCAGGACAACCACACTCTCCTTCACTATACAACACTGATTGAGATAGTGACATGGTGTGATTGTCTGAACATGTGCTCATGGAATTTTTATGTTTACTTAGATGCGTTGAGTTCCCTCATCCTGCAGTATACTTGTGATCACAAATCTAGTGGAACATAGATAGTTACATGTTCATTGTTATGTATTTTTATCATTTGATCACTAATAACACCAAAGCTGATTGCACTATCATAGCAGCATTCTTGTGTAAAGCAGAAAACATATTTGCCTATTGGCGAAGAACTTAATATTCCCACTTAAATATAAAAATATATTTCTCTAACTTCTCAGTGTAAAAATTGTGAAATGCTTTTGAAGTAACTGAAGCAGCAATGTTACAAAATGCTATATCCTATTTCATGTGTGTGTTTCTAAGCAAAGTTTTTCTTCTTCTTTTTTAGCAACCGTTATTCTCAGCAACCTGGAACCTAATACAACATATGAAATGAAGGTTGCTGCTGTAAACGGAAAAGGGCAAGGAGAATATAGCAAAATTGAGATATTTCAAACATTGCCAGTTCGTAAGTAATCTCCTTGCTCTTTAATGAATTATATTTGTTGAAAAATCAAGTTTAGGTATACTTTGGATGCATATTTGCTGCTGATTCTTTCACCCATTCTGCCCATTTCCTCCTTCTGCTTCGCAGCAGCATTTACAGCACTTGCAGAAAACACTTCCCCCTTCTGTGTTGGCCAGCCCTCCAAGATGTTCCATGCCTCCCCTTCCCCCAAACATTGGTTTTTAAAGGGAGACTTTTCTTTCCAGTGGGTCATCACACCCACTGCTATCCCTGGAAACCTCCATTTCCCCAGACCAAGGATCTTCTTTTGATGTGTTGATGACCGGTCATCAGCATCATTGTACTCCTTAACTAATTCCCCCAGGCAATATCCTGGACTGGAAAAGAAGCTTAGCCTGCCATTTTGCACTGTTAAAAAAAGTAAAGGACCCCTGACTGTTAAGTCCAGTCGTGAATGACTCTGGGGTTGTGGCGCTCATCTCACTTTACTGGCCGAGGGAGCCAACGTTTGTCCGCAGACAGTTTTTCCAGGTCATGTGGCCAGCATGACTAAGCCGCTTCTGGCAAAACCAGAGCAGTGCACAGAAACACCATTGACCTTCCCACCGGAGCAGTGCCTATTTATCTACTTGCACTTTGACGTGCTTTCGAACTGCTAGGTTGGCAGGAGCTGGGACCTAGCTCACCCCGTCATGGGGATTCAAACCGCCAATCTTCCGATCGGCAAGCCCTAGGCTCAGTGGTTTAGACCACAGTGCCACCCACGTCCCTTTGCACTGTTAGCTCACCTTAATTCTCAGCACACTGATTAAACCCCAGCACCCAGGAATCTAGAGGGTATTGGGCACCCAGAAACCTGTAACAGTATATTAAATGTGTTTTAAATCCATGGTGTGTGGACCATGAGCCCATACCATCTGTGAGTTATGTTTTGCTATATCCTGTGCCTACCTTCTGGTACACTGGGATACATAGCAGGAAAACAGTTTCATTCTGGGATACACATAAAGTAAACAAAACTCTCTTTACCACTTCTTCCAAATATACACAATATATCCATTACAGGTACATACCATTCACGTAACTAATGGGTATCTGCTGAAACCTAAGTTCTCTAAAGACTTTTCCAAGCTGTGGGAAAGTAATATTCCATAAATAAAATGAAATTCAATTACCTTTTCTATTGCAGCATACCAGTGAGGAGAGCAATTTTTATTAATCATTTCCTTTTCCTATGAACATATGGAGATTTCTAATCTGTTCACATAGTTCAGATAGGGGACCATGGGGAGTGGGGCACAAATGCTTCTGGTTGGAAACACATGAGAGAACAAAAGGAACAGCAACACGGTTTCCTAATTTACATCTCTCTCCTCTCAAGGCATTAAAAGTACAATTGGCATAGCTGTGCAACAGCTTGTACAAGCAAGCTGTCCCTTTTTCCACTGCTTCAATTTCCTCAACCTGTCCTGCAACAGAAAATATATGGTTGCTTTCTAGTCTGTGTTTTTGTAATAAATTGCATAAACAGAGCTTGGTAACTCACAGGCCAGAGATTTTAGAAGACGAGCATTGTGTGATTTGCTGTATGGTGCGTAGATAATGCTAATGCAGCCATAGCCATGAGTCAGCCAGGAGTGGCGAGACAGATCTTGCACTGGTTTACCCCCCTACACATGGAATTTTACCCATGTAAGATTCAGGAATGGATTGTACCCTGGGTGGTCTTTTTGTAACCCAATCAATCTTTGGAAAGATACGTTGTTAAAGTTATATTTTTCAAACAAAATATAACACAATGTTTTCATTAATTGTAAATACTCCCTTATGTGAAATTACTGTTTCAGTGATATCTGTAAGTGGTGCTTAAGACCAGCTTCCCAATAAAATTGTGCATTTTCTTCATTTGACTGAGATCATCTCACATCTGTAAAATAACATGAGAGCAACCTAAAAATACACATATAAATAAAATGCAACAATTACATCATAGAATTATTGCATATCTCTTTTCATCTTGTATTTTAGGTGAGCCAAGCCCTCCAGCTATTCATGGACAACCAGGCAGTGGGAAAAGCTTTAAACTTAGCATAACAAAGCAAGATGATGGAGGAGCACCTATTTTGGAATATATTGTAAAATACAGAAGTGTAAGTATTTTATTAATCTCAAGAATATGCTTATGTTAGGATTTTTCTTTTGAACTTTTAAAATAAAGCTACAAGCACACAAGGTCTTTCCCCAGACTGTTTTTGCTAAAGTTGCCACAAGGTTCTTTTTTATTCTTGTTGCAGCAAATTTATAAAACTTCCCCCCTGGAATATGTTTCGACAGTATCTACAAGCAAGAACCTCAGACTTCCATTGCAGATTTCACATTGGGGCAGTTACTAGTGTGTTGAAAGGATGTGTATGCTGCAATCCTATGCACACTTTAAAACACACACACACACACACATTTTTTATTGGTTGTTAAACAAATACAAATACAACAACCATTAAACATTTATCCAGCAGTACATCTAATGGTGTTTGTTTTATCCATTGACTCTAGACATAAACTTACACATATAACATTCAAACATATCACTTAGCATACTCTCTCCACTGAGTATTAGTTGAGTTGTTGGTCTAGCAGGGTCTTGATTTTGGTAATTAAAATAGTTAAAGTAATGGGTCCACGTTTCTTGAAAGGTGTCTCTTTTCTTGATGTCTTTAATTGTTGTCCTGTGTCTAGTGCAGCCATAGGCAAACTCAGCACTCCAGATGTTTTGGGACTACAACTCTCATCATCCCTAGCTAACAGGACCTGTGGTCAGGGATGATGGGAGTTGTAGTCCCAAAACATCTGGAGGGACGAGTTTGCCTATGCCTGGTCTAGTGAGACACTCCCACATTGCTATATGCAATACATTATTTCCCCAAATGTTCAGGGGTATTTCTGTCTGGTTCTTCCATTGTTGAGCTATCACTAAGTGTGCTGCGGGCAGTAAGAAGCCTACTAGTTCTCTATGGTGCAGGGTGGAATCTAACTCTATGTCCAAAGATAATAGAGTTAAGGCAGGATTTGGAAAAACGGGTTGGCTTGTAATTGCAGCTATAATGGAAAATGCTCAATTCCAAAAGTTTTAAACATGGGAGCATTTCCATAAAACATGAATAAATGAACTAAAATGGAGGATATCTTGTAGGCCATGTAGTCCAACCCTTGCCTGATGGTGTTTTCCTGTGGTATTCAAATGATTTTATTTAATAATGTATTTTCCAGCTTACATTAATTGCTCTTGAAAGAAAATTGTGACGCTAGTTTCTCATTAAAAATGGGCTTTTTACAGTGAAAAGTATGTTTTAATTGTAGTTGACCTTGATTGACATTCTTTCCGTTCTAATAAATTCATTTGAATTTCTTTCTTACAGATACATATGTTATATAAGGGTGGATTAATCTGTAATTTTCAGTTTATCTCAGTTTCCAATCTTAAATTCAGTGTTCCACATTTCTGCAGGAAGTTGTGATTTATTCATGTATTTAAAAACCTTCATGAAAAGTTGTGAATTTCTCTTAATATCCACATTTTTGTATGCAGTTTCAATGGATATGCGCATTTTTGTGCAGCTTTCTCTACTATGATGCATTTTTGTATCTTACATTTTCTAATATATGCACTTCATGCACACTTTATCCAATACATGTGCTTTGTATACATTATTTGGTTGGAGGTAAAGGTAAAGGACCCCACTCAAAGGTGACTGTGGGGTTCAGCACTTATCTCGCTTCAGGCCAAGAGTGCCAGCATTAGTCCACAGTTAGCTTTCCAGGTCATGTGCCTAGCATGACTAAACCACTTCTGGTGCAATGGAACACCGGGATGGAAGCCAGAGCACACAGAAACACCATTCATCTTTCTGCCACAGCAGTACCTATTTACTTGCATCAATTTGCTTTAAAACTGCTAGGTTGGGACAGAGCAACAGGAGCTTACCCCATTGCACGGATTCAAACTGCCAACCTTCCAATCAGCAAGCCCAAGAGGCTCAGTGGTTTAGACCACAGTGTCACCCACTTCCTAAGACAGGCATGGCCAAACTTGACCCTCCAGCTGTTTTGGGACTACAGTTCCCTTCATCCCTGACCACTGGTCCTGTTGGCTAGGAATGATGGGAGTTGTAGTCCCAAAACAGCTGGAGGGCCAAGTTTGGCCATGCCTGTCCTAGGACAAACGCAGGCTTCCTTGGCCTGAAGCGAGATGAGCACTTCGCCCCATAGTCGCCTTCGACTGGACTTAACTGTCCAGGGGTCCTTTACCTTTATTTATTTGGTTGGAGAACATCACAAAATTCAGGGAAGTCCTGGTTTTGAAGGATAGCTGTGTTTTGGTTCACATACTTTTTTGTAAGTGTGATTAAGGTATTTTCTCATTAATACGGGTGCAAAATCAAATTTCGTTCTCATCCCTAATAGATACAAGTAAGTGGGGGAAGTATAAGACTTTTCTTCTCACTGCTACCTGCTGCTACCTATAGGCAACTAGATCTAGAAAAGGCTTAACTGTCTTTTATGAAGCAGAGGCCCTGAGGAGCTCCAGTCTGCTTCTGTTTCTGACAGTTATAACTGTTTCCCAGATCTCTCTCTCTCTCTCTCTCTCTCTCTCTCTCTCTCTCTCTCTCTCTCTCTCACACACACACACACACACACACACAATATAATTTCATCCAATATAATGCTACTTTAGAAAGAAGCTATTGCTTTAAATGCTTTGTTGAGAGTAATACTGTGCCATAGTAGTGGTTTACTACAGAGGAAATAACTGTTACTACTTTCCCCAAGCCTTTCTGTACTTTATATTTCCTCAGAGTGTTGTACCAGTGAACTCTAGATTATAGGGATGGGCAAGAATTTGTTTGTTTAATTATTACATTCATTTTTGTTACTAAAACCTCTCATGTTTTGTTATTCATTAGTTTTTCTCATTATTATTTCATTTGTTTCCAACTGTTTTCATTGGAAGACCAGCTGCTATTATACTATCTGTATATTCTGCTTTTTCCATCTATTTGGAATTAAACAAGAAATTAGACTTGCCAGATTTCAGACAGATATGAGAAAGGGTTCCTGTTTTGTAGACAACCTCAAAAGCCACCCACACACAACCTAAAAATGGGAAGGAGAACTGGTTTTGCACAAGGAGAAAGATGAACCTCTGTGCATGGATTGAAAGGCTTGGGGATGCAGACCAAAAGGTTGCCCAATATAGTGCGAAATCCTCCCCCCATCCCTTCTCCGGCTAGGGCTGCTGCTTCTCCCTCCAACCCTCACTTCCAAGTAAGGTAGCTTCCAGAAAAGGAGGCTTTCCAGGGCTATACCAGGAACATGCAGTATGGAGGGGCAGTGCTGAGCCCTCCCAACAGCAAAGTCATTGCAGAGTTGCTACCACTTATAGAAGGTGCAGGGTAGCACTGAGGTCCGGGCTGTGTGGGTGCATCAGTGCAGTCAATCCAAAACTCCTACAAGTACATCCACAGAGCCTAGCCAAACCCTACGTAACTCCTACACTGTCTCAGCAAGTAGCAGTAACTAGTGTCTGAAAGGGGACAGCACAAACCACTTCTCCATACCAGCAGCTCCTGGTCAGCTGCTTTTTATATGCTTAATAGGAAAGTACAGTCATATATTAGATGACTGATGTTGTAGTTTGGGACTTGCTTTCAACTGTACTCAGTTTAAGGACTAAATTCATCACAATTTAGACTGTTCTTTGCATTTTTACAGAAAGATAAGGAAGACCAATGGGAAGTGAAAAAGTTTCAAGGTAATAAAGACCAAATTATTCTAGAACCGTTGCAGTGGACAATGGTCTATGAAGTGCAAATTACTGCGACCAACAGACTGGGATATTCAGAACCAGCTGTATATGAATTCATCATGCCACCAAAGCCCAATATAATTACAGGTAAGTTAATTCTAACATACTACTAACAGTTACTTCTGCTCTTATTTTAACATTAGTGGAGAATTGGTTTTCTATATTTTCTAAACATCTTCAACATTTCTGGCCCTGCCAGATATACCGTTTGTAGCGTTATAACTGGTGGGGCTTTTTTTCTACATGCTTCCACATGGCAGCGATATTTCATCACTATTCCAAAGCACAGCAATCATCAAACCACTTTTTCTTCTGCAGCGAAATTTCTGACATTTGTGAAAGATCTGGAATTCTTCTGCAATCTTTTCATTGTGTGGAACACCATTGTGTGGTGTTTTGTGCAGTTCCATGCATTCTAGGTACTGTTCATAGTGTGGGATTTAAGCCACTTTAGCTTTGTACTTCTTTAACCTCCTTGGCCTTTTTTGACAGGAGGTTGTCCATAGCCAAGACCAAAAACTCAGAGAGTTCCTCCTGCCTAATCTCCCTCACAAACAGAATTCCAGAACATCAGGTGTGGATGCAAGAGGTCCATCAGTCTCATAACTCTTACACTGGTTTCAGGCACAAGGTAAAGGAAGGGGTCTGATTACAGGCACAGATTTTTTTCTCAGTCTGAACCCATCCCACCATTGGTATGAGCAGTGGGAAAAGAAGCAATCAGTCTCCAAAAAAGCAGCAACATGTGACAGCTAGTGTGGGCGGTCCACTACAATTTTGCTGCCAAAATCATCAGAACAAAGAACATTTATAGCACTACAAATGGTATATCTCAAATGGCACACAGTTGCTTATTACTGGTATGACTATTTCCTTATTACTAGCAAAATCACCAGCTACAAGGTTTACAATATTCTGTTGATTTTATGCGCTGACATATGCTAACAGGTCGCTATGTCAAAAGAAATCACTTACCATATCTCTGCAATTTTACGGTCTACAGTTTGGTAGTTACATCCACCTAGCAGTAATTGGTTTTGTTGCAGTAGCACTTAGAAGAAGTCTCTGCATGGTACTGCATGCATCAAACAACAGGCTCCTAGAGGGTGACATTAAAGGAGATGATGGTGCAGTTGCTAGCAAATTGTTGCCTGGAATATTAAAGTCTGGTGGAGTGGCAATGCCTCCCTGGGATCATAGTGTAGAAAAGAGCTTGCTAGGCATTTTTGAAAACACGTTAGTCAGGTGACATCTGCCCCACTTGTATAGCATATGATGCTGGTCATTCTGCAGCTGCCATGGCACAAGTTTCCATACCAGAAGAGGTGGACTTGTGGCCATCCAGATGTTGTTGGACTTCATGTCTAAACACAGGGCTGATGAGAGTTTGGTGTCTGACAAAATCCAAGAAGCCACAGCTTCCCTATCCCTGCTCTTTTCCATGACTGTTTGGGATCAGGTTGTCCAAAAGTTACCAATAGGTACTTTAATTAGAAATCTGAAGAATATTAATGGTGCCTTGTTTGCCTGACTTCTGACTTGAGTGTTCGGTTCCCTGTGAAATTTTGTCAAAAGTTTCTTTTAGCTATAGGCCACTAGGTAATTCCTGTGTGGCTATTAGTTAGAATGCAATCACATTTTCACGAACTATTCAAATGAATTTTCAAACTTGGAAGGAATTATAAAAATTGAATTCTAGTAATGATGTGAAAATCAGATTTCAAAATCTTGCTGGGTAGGGCCTGGAAACAGACCTGATGGAAGAGTGTATCTTTCCTGATCTGCATTTGAACCTTAAAAGGGTGGTGGTGACCTCTGTTGTCTCCCCCCACTGATCATGCCTTGCCAAACCCCAATGTTCCTGTAGGCTTGTTGTGGATTTGTTTATCCCATACACGGTTTCAGTCTGGTTATTTCTTCATGTGCATCTGCTCCCTTGTGCCTAGTGCATAATAAAAAGCAGATAAATTTTATTCAGAATCACAAAATAAATTGTGCAAGATCTGAAACCTTGCAGAAAATAAATTACAAGCCTAAATGAGATAGGTCTCTGTGATTAATGGATTACTTCTACAGAATCATTTTTTAAAAAATTCATTAAAATAAAAGTTGAAAGGGAAAGGGCAAGACAATGGGTGGGAAGATGGACATTTGCCATGTTTGGATAATCATCCAGGACTTTGTAAACAATGTTTTAATAAAGCCATGCATGAATGATCTGGCTACACTCTCATCCCTACACTGTTCCCATTATCCAGCAGTGTGAACTTTTTGGCTTGCGTTAATACAGCATTCCATTTTACACCTGAACTAAGGAACTATGCCTGAGCTAACAAACCAGGAAAATAAGGCTGGGTATCATTATTGCTTATAAAGCCTTGATCAAGCATCCAAACGTGGCCATTATGACACATTTGGTATCAAATATAACTCCATTGAGAAGGATTTCTGCCATCCTCAATTACTTTCTAGGTCTCACAATTATATCAATATCAGTTTGGTATCCAGAGCAAATTGGTAGGAAACTAAAACTAATATTATCGGGTGATTTGAAGGTAGAAGTTGATTACTTGATTCAACCATCATCAAGACAATTGCTATCTTAGGAATCCACATTGATTATTTTTAGATAAAATTGAAAGCTTCTAGACATATCTCAGTTCTCCCTAGAGTTTAACTTATGTACAATAATTCTCAGCATATTAAGACTGTGTTTATCAGCGAGGCAGAATTTATTTGTTGATGTTTGGGATGAATAGCTGCTGTTTCCAGTCACAACCCTTCAGCTTACATAGCGATATTTTCTTGACTATGGACTTAAGCCAATTATTTCATGGAAGCGCACCCATCAGTCATTGCATTTAGGACTGTTTTCAGATTCCACAAATATTATGACCTTTTATGTCCCTGACTGGAATGTCTTGCATACCCTTTCAAACAAAGTGCCATCATGTGTGCTAAAACATCTTAACTCTTCCTGACCAAACCCATTTTGTCATAGGCAGAGATGATGGATAATCTATTTAATGTGATCATGTTGTGCTATATACTTGCAAAAAATGTCAGTGTTCATCAAGTTAAACCATTCCTTTATATTTTCATTAATTACTCGCAGCGACAGCCTTATGAACTTGAAAGGTTCACCTGGAGGTTAAAAACATTTATTTTTGTTTTAAGTATAACAATATGTTCATATTTTGAAGCTTGAATAAACACAACACTGATATATTCTTTTCTGCAACCCCCCATAGGAAATGTGTGAAACACTTCTGTTTACTTTTGCAACTAGAGTTTCTTTCTTGCTTCATAGTTTTCTGTAATGGTAAGGTGGATTCAGTACCTAATTTCAAGATATTCTAGGGTACAAGCCTGTTACAATACTGCTACCTGCTTCCAAATCTCATCACTATAGAAAAGAGCTTTCAGTTTATTCATATAGATTTACTTACAGAATAAAATTAAATTTAAAATAGAAAGAAACATGTTAGATCTGAAGTAATCCCCAAAGTGCACCCTGAGCCTTGATGTGCGTAGTCTGATTATTCTCGCTGCAACAGGAAATTCACTTGGCATATGCTAAGAAGGACACTCAACTATTATGCACTTCTCCCAAGGCTAAAATATGAAAGTAAAAACAGGTCTGAAATATCACTCTGGTGGCCCCTAGCAGAATTTAAGGCCTGAAGTGTTTTGTGACACTGCGGGAATTGCTGTATAGAAATGTCTATAGCATCAGTGAAAACTGTGTAGGAAATAAGATGAATAAAATCAATCTTTGTTTGTTGGCACAGAAAGAGAGGAAACAGATAATATGTATGGTACTTGTTAATTATTACATGTTCACCCCACCTTCCACCCAACAAATGCAGGGTGGTGTACATGCCCTGCAAGGGGGCCAATGTGAATAAAATATGGGGGGGCAGGTAAGCCCCACCCCACATAATTGATAAAAATACACAGCACACACCATTTGAATGGTAGTGCCCATCCGCTTGGGGGAGGGGGATAGCCCCTTCAAATACTTTAGGGGAGGCTGAAGGGACCTCAGCCCCTAGGAGTTGGCTCCTATGACACCCTCCCCATTTTATCCTCAAAACACACCTTTGAGATAGATTAGAATGAGAGGGTGATTGTCCTAGGGCCACACATGAACATAGTGCCTTATCAAGGCTGGAACAAACTTTTTACAACAGTAACTGGTGGAGGAAAAGTTCAAATTCTTGCACGGTACTTGATCCCATGAATGATATCAACATTCAGTGCTTACAGTAGTTTGAAGAATTTAAGCTGAAGAAAAGACCCATTTAAATATCAATTATTTATTATAATCCAATACATGACAACTGTATTAAGAGCTGGCTTAATTTTTGACTCTGTTCTCTATAATTAATTATACACCTTTAAATGTAACACTAATGTCTCAACAAATGAAACTGATCTGTAGAAAATGTAAGTTGAAAAAAGAGACATTGCACATACTTTTGTAAACCAAGAAACCTTTAATAAAAACATCTCTCTCTCTCTCTCACACACACACACACACACCTTTAGGAGCCAGGCAAAAACATTTCTCTTCAACCACCCTATATCTTTTTTAATGTGTTTGTGGGAGGTGTTGGGGAGAGCGGGGTTATTGTTTCATTCTTGTTTTTATTATGTATTTTGTGTTTTTATTTTGTATTTTTATACTATTAACCACCCTGAGATCTATGGATGAAAGGCAGTGTACAAATTTAATAAATAAATGCACCTTTTTTAAAAACAAACTATCATAGAAACAAACCAACTTCAAATTATTTGTTATGGAGCAGGCTTGTTTCAATAAACCATATTTAGTTTACCACATTTTAGGCTTGGGATGCAACACTAAGATAATGTAAAACAGAAGCAAAAGCTTCCAAACCCCTCAAGACCCCACCAGGGGAAGGGAGTAAATCAGAATGCTCATTATCTGAAATCTCAGTTATCTGAACACAAAGAATGATACCCAAACCTCATTACACCAGCAGCTGATTCAGATATCTGAACAGTCGAAGTTTGCCCACTTCCTTACTTTTTTTGTCTTTTGCCAGGGAGGAGGAGGGAGG